ATTTAACCCTTATGTGGCCAACCAAAAAATCTTGTACCGGGGCCAACCGAGGTACCCGGGTACCTCTATACAAATTTATGGCTAAAAACGTGCTGTAGCCTTAGTTATATATAGCCTTAGTTATATAGTTATTAACTATAAATGAATATTATTTATTATAATTTATTTATTATTGATAATTTACTGCTTTTTGTATAAAAATCATTTTTATTTTATAATATACTACCCGAATCCATTATTTATGTATAGAGGTACCCGGGTACCTGGTTGGCCTGGGGAGGTACTTTTTTTGAAACTCGAAATTTTTTGTGAAAATAAATAAAAAAAAAACTTTCTAATGCATAATTTTATAGGAAATCGGTCAAATAATGGGGATCCGAGACGATTTTAGCCAATATTTTTAAGAAAAAAAGTTATTCAACAAAATGTGCGACCATAGGTATCCGGGTACCTGGTTGGCCACATAAGGGTTAAAGTTTACATACAATGCAAATAAATATGTGATAAATATTTATTTACTCACGTATTTCTGCTGTAACATATGTTGTCACAAACACAAAAGCAAAAAATACAATAAGCATTTTCCAAACGGAAGAGATTGTTTTGTGATGTAGCATCTTCTTGAATATCTTCTCAGATGAGAATAGTGATGAATGTACGACGCTAACCAAGCATATCTATATTATACAATCACTGATTTTGTAATCTCCCCACAATTCTCATTCTAACAGCACATGCGTAGAACGAAAATGCTGTTATACATTCTATATTTAATTGATTTTTTCTTCTGCGCATGATCATATGACATATAAAAAGAGAGAGAAGAAGAAAGAGAGGGAGAGAGAAATAGCAATTCAAGGAAAAAATTAATTCTATAAAAACAATCAACCTTCTATTATTAATTAAAGCGAGATTTAAATTTTAAATGTATTCACTTATGAATATTATAAAAAAATCATGAATATTATTAAAAAATACACTTTGAAACATTTACGTAATCATTATTAATAATGTATCTGCGATTGTACTTTAGATCAGAAACAGTTTTGAACCTGATATGAAACATTTTTAACACTTAAAAACATATGTAAAATGTATATGAAACTTAATAACATATTCATACAAAAGAAAAATAAATAGTATAAAAAATTAGAAAAATGTTGCTAGATTTTTATTACATCAATTGTTAAAATATATTGTTCAAAATATATTTATAGTGGCTAGATTTTGATTATATTATTAATTTGTTAAAATATTTTCAAAATATATTTAATATTAATATTATTTAATATTT